GCCGTATTTGATGATCTCTTAATTGCAGGTTTTTTCCCGCCTCTGGGAAAACTCTCCATCTGAAAATAACAATTAATTAATTTTAAATATAAAAAATAAAAAAAATACTAGGTTAATAACAATATTGGTTAAGTATGAATTCGTGTTAAGATACTGAACTTATTGATGCTTATATATTTAAAAAAATCTTTATTACATATTTTACTGCTATTATAATTATATCCCATACTTACTGTACAATTTGTATAAAAAAATCACGTGTTTATTGATAAATTTATATATTCGTTCTTCTTCTTCTTTTTCTTCTTTTTTAAATGGCACGTGCTCTCGGTCGAGGGTCAATACGGCCACAACCCAGCGTAAAATGTATACGGAAGTGGCGTTAAGTGGTAATACAAAGGCGTTAACAAAAATAAAAACAAAAAAGTTGTAATACAAAGGCGTTAACAAAAATAACAACAAAAATCCTCTTAGAAGAGGAGAAAGTCCAAAAAGTATGGTCCAAACAAAGGACACACGTGCAACGCGTCAAAACACGTCTATACTCGACCAAGGCCGCAACGGAAATTATTCGTTGACTCTCATGTGGGTCTGCATGGAGACATGGAGAGTGGATATGGAGAGTGGAGATGGAGACCACGCTTTTTGTCTAAGGCCCGATTCCACAACTTACTTTTAACCGAAGTTTAACTCGTTAATGGAGGATTCACATTGCATTTGATGTACAATGTATGACGTCCGATTGGATACATCGGACATCAGACGTAATGTGAATTTTCCATTAACGAGTTAAACTTCGGTTAAAAGTAAGTTGTGGAACTGGGCCTAAGGCCGATATTTCATTTGTCGTATAATTATCGTAACAAGTTTTATCGTACAAACTGATTGGCTACAATTGGAAAAAGCTCGGAATCCTAGGAATTTTCTATTCGACAGCCAATCAGACGTTTAACAAACTTCATTGTGCGACACGAATGAATCCTTATAGCGAGCTGGTTTAGATATGGCTGCGGTCCGAAATACGCTCACAGCGCTCATAGTACTGAAAATCTATAGTTTACGTCACGTGCACTATAGCTGGCAGCGCGCTTATAGCGCTGTGAGTGTATTTCGGACCTATGTCTATATGTCTATATGTGTATGGTTCAGATTAGTTTTCCGAGTCGAGCAACGAGAGGTTATATTTTGCATGGATTATTTTGTGGTATTAGAGTAATTTATTGACTGAATCATCATGCTTTCGTATCGTGTAAACAACTTTTTGCGCCATTCGTACGCTCTATGGATTATTTTGTGGTATTAGTAATTTATTGACTGAATCATCATGCTTTCGTATCGTGTAAACAACTTTTTGCGCCATTCGTACGCTCGTGCAATCCCCAATTGTCGTAGTTTTGCATCAGCAAACGTTGAAACAGGTATTATTATTAATATGAAGGTATCTAAACTTCTTTGCTTTTTTTATGCAATTCTTTTATGCATTTAATATATAAATTTTTTAAATATTTTTGTATGTAATTTTCATATAGATCCGATACCAGAAAGAGATCCGGCACCATATTTCTTTAATAGACAGGTTCAGGCGTATCTAAAAAATCTGACGACAGTAGATTACGCAAAAATCTTCCGAAGTCGCAAAGATGGACACAAACTCAAAACATCAGAATATAAATTTTTAACAGACGAGCAGGTTGAGGAAGCTAAAGAAGCAGCAAAGTATAAAGCCAAGAAATATCTGCAAATGCCACCAGTGGTGAAGCAAAGATTAGATCCATCTGTGCCGCTATGCGAAGACCCTGCATTAAAGAACCACGATACTGCTAAATATGTGTTTACCGATATCACATTTGGTCTCAAAGACAGAGAAAGATTTGTAGTGATTAGAGAACCCGAGGGTACATTGAGGCATGCCACTTGGCAAGAGCGAGATAGGGTTGTACAAATCTATTTTCCAAAACCATCTAGGGAGGTAGAAAAACCAAAAATGTTTGAAGATGAATATTTGAAAGTAAGTAAATAATGAAAACTTTATATAAAATTTCATTATAGTATTATGTTTGCTGAAATGTACACATTTAAGAGCAACAACACAACTCTAGCAAAAGAAAAAAGAAAAATATAAAATAATGTAATTAATATCATGATTTTCTTCACAGAGCTTATTAGATCGCAAAGAATATATATTCATATTAGATCGAGCGTGCGTGCAATTTGAGCCGGACGATCCGGATTATCAAGCAGTCACGCGAGAAGTCTACGAGCATATAAACAGAGAGAAACATTTTGACATTTTGAGGTCTACGCGTCATTTCGGGCCGATGGTATTTCATCTAGTATGGACGAAAAACGTCGATAATTTATTATGCGAGATGATCGAGACTGGTCGGATTAAACACGCCGCGATGCTGATAAGTCTCTTTCATATAATTTATCCCATGATGAAATCAGCAGTTGATCAGTGCAAAGTCAGGGATAATGTAGAATTTATCATGCATTATGCACGCCTGGACTCGCCGAGAAAAAGCACGATCGAGAAGCTCTTGCAATCGTATAAAGAATTGCAACAGGAACATCAAATCGTGGAGGAGAGTATTAAACAGGCGCACGGTATTGCTTCAGAAACTGACAAAGTGTAAATATAAATCAATAAATCTAGTATTCTATATCATTATTTCTCTCTGATTCGAGTTCTATTTATATGATAATGGCCGATAATACAAGAATTTGTTTATTCGAAATATCCTAATGGTATAACTTTTTTCAAAAGAGAAACCAGCAATGATGTTTGAAAACTATAATGGATAATAGACTCGATTATTCAAAATAATGTAGTTTGTTTGAAAATGCTGCTCATGAGAAGATTAGAGATATTTATAAATTAAATCGATAACAATTTAATTACAGAAAGGCTTTTAATAAGAGAAGACAAACAATATAATATCGGATGTTTCATTTATCTGTCTAGTTTTAATATTCATTAAGAAAAGTTCGCTATGCTTCTCTCTTTAGAACACCCTATAGAAGAAAAGTGGGACTGTATTACACGGTATGTCATGATTTACCTTTTATTCGTTGTTCGTAAGGTTGAATTAATCGATGGATAACAAAGACAAACGATGATCGTCAGGATAATTCGATGATTATTACTCGATTATTTTATTATATGTACGGTAGTACTTACAAACATTTACAAATGTAACAAGTCAATTCGATTTGGCGTACAGGATCATCAGAAAACATTACACTAATAATTCTCGCTAATCGCGTTATGGGAGAGAAAACGGAGATTAAAAAAAAAACGCAATTCGATCACGAATGGTTCGCGCTTGATTCGCACGGATCGATAGCGCGCACCTTCGATCCGAAACGCTTCGTTTACAATTAGAATGAAGGAAAGGACGGGATGGGGACCTAAAAATTGATTATACTTAGCGCGCGCGCGATTAAACGTATACCCCGATAACAAATACAATTCTAATTCTATTGCGATATTCTTAGATGTATCACCGTGAACGAAAATGCACCGTTCAAAGTAGCTTTCGTAAATGCAATATATAATTGTGGCTTAAGTACCTACAATAAGCGCGCGCGGAACAGTATACAAATCCGATATGGAAATAAAATTTAAAAAACGAGAGAAAAAATACTTTTTTTTTTTTTTCTCTTTTTCTTCCCGCTGGTATCTCGCGTTGTATTAATACTCGATAAGCACTCGCAAACAAATGCTCATTATCGATCATTATCGTTCACTTTATCTTTAATATATGTGCTCTTATTGTAAGTAATTATGATTTCTCTATAGAGACATATGCTTGTGTGATAGTGGGAAATAAATAAGATCTTTATACATCTCGCCACATGCAATTAACCCTCGGATGCGTTATTTCACGTCAACTGCGTAAATGACAATCTGTCTCGTTTATTCAATCATAAAATAAATATTAATCGATCGCGTGATTATATAAATATATCTATGTCGTTTATTACTAGTAAATTATATATTGAAGTATGTATTTGATCGTGTAAAATTGTTTACGCCAATATTTTTCAATTCTTAATTTTATTCTGTCGCGATATTAGCAAAACTTACGATCTTGTATAGAGACAATATCGTATAGCATGCATAATTTATTTCTAATAATCTAATAATACTTTTTAATTAATTTTCTTCTTACTAACAGAACATAACACACGAGAGAAATTTTTCTAATCTACGAGAGAGAATTACGCAATTATAAACATAGAAAATCGATCTCCTTGTCAATCGCGTTTTCATGTCAAACTATTTAAGGATCCTCGTTAACCAGCGCATTTTGCTTTCGAATTTTTCAATTAATAATTAGCAACGCGTTATTCGCTAGATATTAACAAATGCAAAAGCATGATATCAGTAACAATTTCACGAAGAATCCATACACTACCGAGTTTAAATTAAACCCCGCAAACGCATCCGAGGATTATGACGAAAATTTCGGTGAACATTTGCTCTAACGGAAGAGGAGAATAAAGCATACAAAATAAATACGCGAATGTATTAGCTGTTAGGCCCTTCCTAGCATAGTATGCGCACTGCGTCGAGCGCCGACAATCCAATTGGCGATGCGAAAAGTCCAAAAGACATCTGAAAGACACATCTGACAGATGCAATTTCACGTTAGACATTTCAGACGTTTTATATCTTGGACATTTATTTTTTTCGTTTAGAAGGCGCGATGACGAGTTTATCTTTCGTGCAGTAAGCTGTGATAAAATAGTGCGAATCACGCTTGCGAGAAACGATCAAAGTGACGCGCAAAGTTCTCACAATGTTTTGTCGCATCGAATTTATTTTAGTTTTTATCTAAATGACAAAGGAGAATATCGTTAAAGGATCGACGATCCGCCAACTTGATCGTAAACACATTCGATTTTTCGCCTGCGATGATGGAAAAGAAAAGGATGAAGCGATTCGACGATATCTTTCTGTGGCGCGCAACGTGATAATTAGTTAATAATCGTGCGATCGTGTCCAAGTAATTCAATCCGCAGGGTGCACGGTACTGCGGTGTTAATTGCAAAATGTAGCAGCGCTGCCGCGTTATTTGGGTTGATAAATATTGAGCAATATTCTCTTTTTAACGCATGACATTTCTTTGGCCGCCAAAAAATTTACTGACAGGTCTTTCGCGCGTCTTGCCTCTTGATTCCGATTAGCCATGTGTTTTCCGAAAGAGAGATATAGAGCGAACAGTCCTCCAATTGCATCGATATGAATTAACACTTTCAGAATCAATCAGTATTTTATCTTTATGGGTCGTTTCCGTAGACTTTAGATTGCAAACATACACGATGCATTTATAATTTATTTAAAGTCCAAATGCATTTATAATTTATTTAAAATTAAATCTCAGACTCCTTGTATACCCCCGGAATATTTTTTCGCCTAGAGTGCCACCCGTAAATATCTTGCCGGTAACGAGGAATAATCAACGTCGATCGCCTATATCGCTACGCATCCTGTATATGTGTATTTATATATGTGTAAATACGGCTGGATGTGTTTGTATATATGTATATATATATATATATACATACACACACATACACACACACATGTACGGTAGCAATTATTTTAAGCACGATAAAAGTCACGTTAGGACCGTCGTCATCGTGTACGAAAGGCGTGTGATTTCGCCGACATCGCCGCAGTTTCGTTTATGGCATTAACGATGTGTGAATGTATACGTATGTGTTGTATATGCGCACATGTGTACGAGAAAAGATTGCACAGTATATCTCGTGTATACATATACTATCTATCTATTTTTCCACTTATGTGTATATATTTATATAAATCTCCCCGCCCGTACGCGTACATATATTTATATGTATAATATATACGTATGTATATTATGTATAATATTTATATGATGATTCGTCTACGTAGAATCTTGACGGTGTTTTACGCTCGCCCTACTACGATGAAGAAAGAACGAAGAGCCGGCTAATTACGCGGGTGACGGCTGTGTATAATCTTAAAAAAGTACGCAAGTATACGTCGCGTTCTTCTCGTATTTTGGCACAGAGACGTGTTACGAAGAGCACGCCGGATGTGTACGAGGTGTATACAAGGATCGATTTTGAGAATCGAAGGGAAAAATCTCAAGAGACCAAGAAAGAGGGCAAGACGACGCGTCCGACGTTAGTGCGATGAAGCACCCGGATGTGACCCGTCTATTCAGATGGGCGCATTGAATATGCTCGTGTAAAAATGCATAATTCAACGAACCCCAACGCCGCGTTTTCTCTTCTTCTCTTTTTCAAAAACGTTGATTCTTCCGTTTACGCGTCCGCGTATATCGAGAGCTTTCCTCGCGCGTCGTTTTACGATCATTAATGCTATTGTTAGCCGTAGTAATTAGTGCGGTATTATGTTCTTACGCATTACGTCTCGCGCTAAGTTTCTACGCTTTATTCTACGCTTATTTCGCAAATTAGATGTTGCGCGTACATGGTGAAGACTGGCGGAGTAATTTTTCTCTTCTTTTTCTTATTCCTTCTCTGTGTTCTTTTTCTTTGTTTTTTCGTATTTGTGTCTCTCCGTCAGTCGTTTTCGTGTCTCCCGTTTGATCTCCTTAATTCTACCAATTCCTGTCCCTTTTCTATTCTATTCTTCGTCGTGTCCATTCCCGTTTCATTATCCCTCGTTCCTTTTTTTTTTGATCGAGGAGGATCAAGGACCACGTGATATAATGGCCTCGCGATCTCGCCGGCCGTGTTAACTACTCGCCAGCGCGATTTCAGCGGCAACCTTGACGGTCGAGCAGCCGATCAGCGAGCGGCTTCTCGGTCACAGAATATCCGTCTCGTAGACCTTGCTGGTGGTCGTAGTGGACATGGTAGTGACGGTTGTGGCCGAGCCGGTGGTTGTTGAGGCCGACACTACCGTCATGGAGGTGGGGACGCCTACTGGGACAATCTGGTTGCTGGTTGTCGTCGTTGTTGTCGTAGTTGTCGCGAAAGTCATCGGGAGTATCTGTCCATTGGTGATCTCGATCTTGGTCACTTGATTAGCATCGCCGATAGCCTCCTGCGAAACCATCTGCGGTTTGATACTGAGACTGGTGAGAGATCCGGAACTCGCGGCGCTTAGACCGAGGCCCATCTTCGCGAGGAGATTACTCTCAGAACCGGTTTTCTTCAGGAGATCGGGTGGCGTTGGCGGTACAGTGGTGAGACCGGCCGCGTTCCTTTGTAGCTGCTGCAGCCTGGCGTATTGTTCTTGTAGGGCCTTCTGTTTCCTTAGGAGCTCCTGATGCCGTTGCTCCAGTTGCTCCTGTCTGCCGCGCTTACTTTGCAGGCCTTCCTGCGAGTTAACACTCTCGCAGGAACTTGAGTTGCTGGTCGACAGCACTGCGGAGGATTGCGAGGACGACGAGTTGTGTATCGGGGCAGCCACGTTCGACGGCGCTGACCGGTCCCCGCCGATCTGTTCTGTCGTGGACAGGATCATCGTGGTAGTATCTGGCGGTAGGGCCATGGGCGGTTTGCCGCCGCGTGTCACAGGTCGACGTAAAGTCGCGTTGCCGCTCTGCAGAGTGCACGGATGATTCCTGGGCGGCAGTTGGGGGCTGGTCGGGCTCGCCAGAGGTGATCGAGAGCTAGTGCGCGGCGGCGGTGGCGGCGGTACTCTCCTGGCGCTCGCCAGCTGCAGTAGCTCGACGTTCCGTTCCGGAACCGGCGGCTTCTGCCCGGGTAGGAAGGCCTGCGGTAACACCGGCATCCCCGTAGGCTGCGATAGTTGTTGCTCCTGCAGCGACAACGCCTGCAGTCTGGCGATGGGCGGCGAGGTGTCGGTATCCGAGCTCGATGGGTATGAATGTAGACGACGCAGAGTGCCGCTGGCACCCGGTGCCATCCCGGGCAAGCCCACCATGACGGCTGAGGCAGAGATCGCGGTCAGGGTACCACTCGACGAATCCACGCTGCCCTTTCGACCGATGTCGCTGATATTGGGCGCGCGATTGCCGCTGCCGCCGCTGGTGGTTGCCGTGATGCTCGATTCTCGTAGGCTGGAAGCGCGGCCGATGTCAGCCAGGAGCACGTTCGGGCTCGAGTGCACTGACAGACTGCTAGACACGTGGCCCATCTGCGAGCCAGGTCGCGAGAAGGTTTGCAGTTCATCTAGCAGAGCGTCGAGTGCGTTCTCCGGACGCTGCTGAGGGTCGGCGGGTGACTCGTGAGGGTGGCTCCCTCCCCCGAGGACGCTCGCTGACCCCACGACAGTGCGTTCCGCTGGCACAGGGGCAGCTGCCTGTTCGTTCAAATATGTCGAATCAACGGTCGGGCTAGATTTGCCTCTGAGGAAACGTCGCGCCAGTGTCTCCTCACGAGGACATATCTCTCTTCTCAAGCTGGCGCGACGCTCCTCGACGCTTATCGGGGAAACATCGTGCTTTTTCTTTTTGTACGCTCTCGTTGTCAGTAAGCTGTCAGAAGAAGCATCCTGAACGCGATCATTAAACTTGCTCTCGTACCTTTACAGAGGTGCCGTGACCATCACCGGTACAAGCGAGTGAACGTGTATAAAGTACACAGCGATATACATATACAAATACTTACGCGTGTAGATATGACAAACATATAGATACACAGAGATATATAAATGTGTAGAAACGTTAAAAGAGAATTTCGTAAAATCGCACATCGATTATGTATGTACACTTGACTTATGTATGTACAGAAATACATTTTTACATTTGAACAAAATGGTGCACACGAATACCGGAGATATAAAGTACATTTCGTACAGAATATTATTACAATACATTCATTTAGTGTGTGCTGTCGCTGCGGATGCTTTTTCTGACAACGGGAGCGATGATCGTAGAAAGTGGCGTCTCGATGCAAAAGTCCGAATAATGAGATCGAGAAAAGAATGAGTTGCGAAAAAGAGAGAGAGATGATATTCGAAACACGGATCATGTAGTCCTTTTATTACTTTAATAATAATAATGATCTTTAAGCGTTATCTGAAATATTCTACACAACTAAAAATTTTTTTGCATGTATGTTAATTATATATACAATATGTTATAATATATACTTTAATGCATAATCAATAATTAATTCAGCAATTTTATTTATTAATTTATTTAATTTATCTAATTTTTAAGTTTTAGATATGCAATTCGAGACACTCGTACGTGGACTTCGCATTATGTGCTGTTTTAACTGTAAAACGTTTAATCACGAAGAAATCAGCGACAATCAAATCAAAACAATCAGTACGAGGACGCATTTCGATACGCCATGATCGTACGATCGGAGGATCGCGAAGTCGAACTTCGTCTTTCTTCTTCTATGTCATGCGTGTGCGTAGTATGTGCGAATAATGTGCATGCATAGAGTATACGATTTGATGGAACGGAGAGCGTGAATAAGACAATGATGAATTATAATAGACATGAATGAGCATATATGTATTACGGAAATGCAGAATATGATGAATGAAGAAAGTAAAGTGAAAGAGAAAAGGCGCGAAAGAGAGATGGACGAAAGAGAAAGAGAGAGAAAGAGAGCGAGAGAGAAAGAGAGAGAGAGAGCGCAATGATGAGTCATGAATCGTAATAAGTGAACGAAAAAAGGCACACAATCGTAAGACATAATACATAAATATGATTAATTCCGTTAGATAGTTACCTGCGGTCAGTTATACGTTTTGTGCGTGCGTTGTGCGTGTTACAAGTCAGTACTCGTTTGGGGCTCTTTTACATTTGGCATCGATTGCTGTCCGGTATTAGTCAACTTAAAAAAAAAAACAGAGAAACCAAAAATCAAAAATTCGAGGTCAGAAGTCATATTGTGGACCGCGCGTGGAAGAAAAAAAAAATATTTTTCGTCGCGAACGTTTACACGCGGACACGCGGTAAATTAGGGTAAATCGCGAAAGCACAAAAGCATCTAAAACACATCTGAAGAGCTATTCGAATAATTAGGAAAATCTTTTATGATGCTTTTCGGACAACGCGTTGCCCGAAAAGCGTCATAAAAGTGGAATACGACAGCGCGAGATTTTTCCATAATTGTTGAAAATAATATATCTATTCATTTGACAATTTTTCTAAAACTTGAAGAATATTCTATCGTTACTATATATATATATACATATATTATTAATTACTCTTGATATTTCGTAAAGATTAATATATTATGACATTATAATCGTCAGAATTATTTTACCCCAACCAACCTTTCATTTATTTACATACGATATTCGCGTGTCGTCCATTATCGACGTTTAATCTCGCGAATCTCCGTGCGAAAAAGCAATGGAGAACGCATGACGTATCGCTCGGGCATCGACTTGTCGCTCCGAATGCAAGGATCTCGCATCGATCATCTTGCATCGTGATCAGATCAAAAGTGCAGCGTCAGAAATAATCACGAATCAAATTTTAAATGAGCAGAACCTATAAGAATCTTGAGCGTGCAGTTTATTTTGATTTACAGCGCAGTAAATTCGCGACTGATTGAGAAATATTCTATTCTTGTACGCTAGAATAGATAGAAACGATATGATTCCCGTGAAAAATGCAAAAAAGTCGTCATTTTTTTTTTATGATATTCAGGTAGATGAATTAGAAAGTGCATACACGGTGTTCGGAGTTCATTGAGGAACATGGCGATATTGTTTTTGGCCAAAAATTGAAACTCTTATTTTTCTACTGGAATTTAAATTAATGACATCTTTTTTGTAATTTCGACATTTTGTTAAAACAAAATTTGTTCAATATTGCCCGAGTTAAGAGACCTTGTTATTTAGCATTTCTGAAGGAACGAATTTGTCAAATTTTTCGACCTCTAATCAATTCAAAAATTATTTGCATCTTGAAACATTTTCTTGACAAAAAATATCGCCATATTCGCGCCAAATGCAATCACTTTACGCATATGTGATCCACCATATGTTTAATAAATTTTTTTATTTATAATAAAGTAAAACATGGAGATTGTTGTGCCCATGCCGATGATCGAGGTGCACAAAAATGTATATAACGCAATTACATAGAGAGGAATAAAATCATTTTCTTACCGATTTGCCGGTTTACGAATTAGTGTAAACGAGTACGCTCGTCGATGCCCGCACAAATGACGTCGACCCCTTTCGGGTTTTCGAACGGAAGACCCCACGCAAAATATAATAATAACATGCACTTTGAAGACGTGGGTAAAAAAAAAAAAAAAAAAAACGCGGTGGGGATGATATATATATAAAGAAAGAGAGAAATAGAGACAGAGAGAAAGATAGAGATAAGATAGATAGATAGATACAGAAGGGGAAGGAAGAGAAAGAGAAAAGGAATGTATATAATACATGTATATTGGTGAATATGTATCCTCGATGTGGAAGTAAATATACATATACAGAAAGAGTAAGAGAAAAAGAGACAGAAAGAAAAACAGAAAGAGCAAAGTGAGATGGAAAGAAGATGATATATCTCGAACGGAGGGCATATATCGAACATGAGATGTTAACATTCGATCGATATCGGATTGAAATCGAAAGAGATGATTACATGAGATGGCAAACTGTCGACGAGAGAACACGTACTAAGTACGACACAATAAAGAAAACCAGATATAAGCCCAAGTAAAAATCATAAAAGTGAAGAGTTAATTAAATCTCTCGAGATATTACACGTCAGTATGTTAGACAGGGACAGATCGTAAATTCATGAACTTTACGTAGTGGAAATTTTTTAATTAATTCTCTATCTTTAACAACAGTTATTTGAATGATAATTATAATTTTGTTTAATTTTGTTAATTAAGTTTTTCGCTTGGCGCTAATGTAAGAAACAAGCTTCATTATTCGTTTATTTGAGCCTCGGGAGTTTAATTTGTTTAATTGTTTGTTTTGTCGGGAGTTTTAATTTTCGATTTTTCATAATTCAATCAATGATCAACTCAATCAAAAATTTGATCGAAAATTTCCACTACACGCGCATTTACGGCCACTAGGTTGCATAGTGTTGCAATGTCAATAGTTTTCGCGAGATGTAATCCGATATCTCGGAACTAGAACAATTAATATCTTTCTTGGTTCCGAGCTAATATATTTTGCTAATATTATGCACTATTTTTTTCTTCGTCTTTGAATCATACATAAAATGATATTAATTGTTCTTTCAGTTCTGAGATATTCGTGTGCTTTACAGCCTCGTCATTGCGCTTTTAATTACGATCGCATTCGTAAAGATGTCAATCGAGATTCATCAAATTCATCTTTTCTTGGATGACATTAAAAGGACGCGCGAGACATTTCAGTTTTTTAGACTCGTTTCTGTCTCTCTCGAACAATTCTTAAAATTCTTTTCAGATAACGGTGGCAAATACTTCATCAAAAAATTTTTACCACACAACAAATTTTCCATTTTCCAAACAATTTTCCAAACAATACGACAAATTCAAAAAGAGATTTAAAAGATGTTTGAAAATTAGGATTTATTCAAGTATTTTCAAGTTTCGTAAATTATGTATCTAGTATTAAATCCTGTCGAATCGTTACTGATTAATTTTGAAAAATCGTTTCTAGAAATAAATGGCGACATAAAGGTCTGTTCTTTATAGCTGAACTGGCTGCACTAGTTCAGAGTTTATCTTTTTCCTTCCACACAATTATACATGCCGGCATGCCACACGTACAGAACGTGCCTAATTAATATTGGACTAATAAAAGAAACAAGAAAACGGAAACAATGTAAAGAATGGTATGTACATATTATAAATACGAGAAAGAAAAAAATATCAGTCAATTAAAAAATATACATAGAGAGAACCTCAGTCCAATCCTTATAGTAAGGCAATATAAGTATAGTACGGACTCAGACTCATAGATATATATATA